GAAATTATGACCTTCATAAAAGAGATGTCACATATGGCTTTCATCATAAAGAAACCACTTTATTTCAATTAAAAACTTACAATTGCACATTCATTTGCAGAGATATGAAAATCATAATTGGTGGGATTTCAATTTGCATAAAATTTACAGACTCATTTGCACAGTTTCAATAGGAAATCCAACCAACAATATAAATTTGTCAACTAAAGTACTGTACTTTCTACTTTGGAGTTAAGATATAACAAGTCCATTCATAAGTCTATTCACAAGTCCAGTCACAAATAAGATTGGATGAACTCTAACAAACAAAATGCCTCTGCCGAAGCTCATCTGAACAGCTTGTGAGTTGAAGATTTGTAGGGACTTGTGCTGGACTTGGCTACATCCCTGATATGCATCATCTATAGCTGGGACATCCACAACTACAAAATTGAACGCTAACCACCAACCCTGCCTGACTAAAATATAAAGAAACTTTTTTAAATTGAATAAAATGGCCACCGTGCCTCTGTCTTTAAGGGAAAAAAAGAAGACATTTTATGCTTAAAAATGTAATGGGCCTTATTCACGAGTTGGCCTTTTTTTGTCGAGTTCCCTGAATGTATTTCATTAATTGTTAACTGTTGAATGGGATGGCGCCAGACTATTTATGCAGGCACAATGCAGCCTTATTTTACTGTCATTTTTTTTTTAAATATGGCTTTAAACATTAGGGAATGTTTAATTACAAATTTAAAATTATTTATTTGAGGCAGACTGGAATTGATTACAAATTAAGTTGCTTTCATTTCTCTTCGCAAGTTCAAAACATTAAGATTTTACCTTTCAATTCAATATTGCCGACTCGTGAATCATAGTGACCGTTTTAGCCGATTTTCGGCAAACTTTGACAGATTTTTTGTTTAAAAACCTTTCAATTCAATATTGCCGACTCGTGAATCATAGTGACCGTTTTAGCCGATTTTCGGCAAACTTTGACAATTTTTTTGTTTAAAAACGAGTTTGACAGAAAATTTGACAGAATGTATTTTCTTGGCAGATTTTTGGCAGAATTCTGCAAAAATGGTTATTTGATAGAAAAACACAGCAAATTTGAAAAAAAGGTAGATTTGTTTAAAAAAAGCTTTAATCTTTTCAAACAAACTCTTGCAAAATATGACAGGTTGCCTTGTCTATGTGCTGAGGTTCACTGGGAATCGGATTCGTCGTGAGGCAACATCGTTTTTGACTGAAATTTACCCAATTTCATAACACCTTTATATGACTATAGATTGTTTATAATGTAATTTGAACCTTAATAAAGGCAATATTACAACATCTGCATGTGATTTTAAGTGTTTATAGTGTATTTCGAGTAATTCATGGCATTTGGCAGATTTTTGAAAAATCTGACAGATTTTTGAAGTGCATTTAGCAGAATTTTGCCATGACCTTACGGTCACCCTGTCGTGAATAAGGCCCATACATATAGTACACAGCTTGAGTAGCATGTTGCATTGCACAAAGCACCACACTCTCAGGAATTAAGAATATACGAAAACACGATTTATAAAGAACCAGTATACATACAACACTTGTTTAAAAAAATATCCATGCTGCTTTCTGTAACAAAAGCTCATATAATGTTAATTTTCAACGTTCAAAATATACAAGATAAAACAGCTCTTATGAACCGGACAAGCCAAGTTCATTATACAATAAGAACACGGCTTTAGTCTGACGTGTGACCATAACCTTGATTTGGCTCATTACAATTGACAAGTACTGTAAATGTTTACAAAAGTAGATTTCGCTTCAATTCTTCCAGTTAAAAACGTTACCGCAACACAAGTCAGAAAATCTTTGTGCTCTCGTCGATCTACTGCAACTCCCACACAAAAAACGTAGTGTCAAGTCTGAATGGGGCTACAGAAACCAATTAAAAATGGACGAATGAGTTCCTTTTTTTCGGTTTGTATCCACTGGATCAAGCAGGTCATGCACTGTTTAAATTCCTTTGTGTTGTGAATTGTGACAAAAATGGAAATAAGTGCCCTTGTCGTGCATGCTGAAAGGGGAGAATAAATAGCAATTTTCTCTCTCAATCGGTATTTTGAAGGTCAGTTGAGGATAGCCGTATACAAACCCTATGTCCCCTTTCAATGCCTAACTATTTAACTCGTCCGTATTTTGAATCACAGAGGAAGAGTTAGAGTAGGGTTTTTGTGTGCATGTATTTGCTGCGGTGATCAAAGTGAGAGGCCGACAAAGGCGACAACTGGACTGAACTGGCCTAAATTACTTTTCGGCTTTGAATGAGTACCGAGTTTGTCTGGGCTAAAAAGTCTAAGTAAATGTATAACTTTCTGGCATAAGCCTTAGCTTTTACCTAAGTTTACAATGGAATCGGGTTTTTGTCTTAAACTTTTCGGCTTTGAATGAGTACTGAATTTGTGCAAAATGACTCTAAATAAAGGGTAGACACTTGTGGCATTAGCCCTAGGTTTTACCTAAGTTTACATTGGAAGAGGTTTTTTGTCTTAAACAAGATTCTACTTAATAGCTCAGTGTTTGTAAGACTAAGTGCTACAAGTATTAACTTTAATTTGGAGTAGTTTGTCAAGTTTGACTTAACATGGCTCACAATGCCAAATATAGAAATAATTCATGAACGACAGAAAATTTACACTAGTACAATTCGTTCTTTGGCTTTGTACAAAAGCAACTTGGAAGAAGTATTTTTTTTCTCAGAAATACTTAAATTAAAGCTGCACGTTACTGAACGTCTTAGCGTAGATTCCTAAATGTGTTCTATAAATTTGGGGCCACTTTTTCCTGTCCCTGTTACATCTGACATCTATGAGTTTATAATTCTGGATAGTTAATGCAATCTTCATTCAAGAGTGATTAGCAAACTACATATCCAACAAATACAAAAATAATTTGAAGTCCTTCTTAATGATACATTCATGACAAATGATAAAAGGTCAGAGGTAACAGGGAAAGGGAAAATTATAGAATGAGCCAAATGTATATCACAGCGTTCAATCAAGTACCACACTGCATATAACTTAATGGGAATATACAACATTTGCAAACATCACAAAACAAAACTACCAAAGTATTATGAAATACCTTACTGGACTTTTAGTGAATGACAGTATAAAGCATCCTGTAAAATTATGGCACCTGGTGTGCTGACATTTTCAAGAAAAGAGGTGTTTTTGTATCAATTTCCAATGCTGGTCAGCCGACCAGCTTTGGAAATAACTGTTTTTTTTTCAAATACTGCCCCAATTTACCATATTTAGTTTGTCGCATTTTGCTTGCAGTCGATTACAGACCTATGAAAAAATACAAGCCAGCTAGACTGATTCTCTGACCTTACAATTCCCAGACGTCTATAAATTGCTCCATTTCATCTCAAATGGGGTCAGGGAACCAGACTACAAGAAGATGATGTTTTTCTTGGTTTTTCCAGCATCTTCGAACACAAACTTCAAACAAGCCAGTGTAACAATATTTGCTATAAAATACTAACCCCCCAAATCCATCCAATTCTGAAAATTACAGCAAAAGCAAATGTTGTATATTCCCATTAAATAACTCTTCACTTTCATTGAAACTTTCAACTGTTTCAAATCTCATAATGAAAACAATTCCGTTTTTGACTGACTCTACAAAATTTGTAAAAACAACAAACTTTAATCATCTCTGTTTATCAGCTACGGTAAAATGTTCAATTAAAGACACATCTGATATGTAAGTCAATTTTTTTTTAATCAGCTGGCAAGAAATCATTTTTTGTTTAATATCTGATTACACATTCATTTTGTTGTTGTTGACAGTTTCACTGAGTTTATGAGTTTTACGACCTCCTAACGAGCTACTCCTCAATTAAAATATCTCGACTAACATGTAGTCCACACCAAGTCATAGACTCTCTTAAATAAATACATACGTGTACCTTCATTTCGATAGAAATATAAAAATAATATCTACAAATGTATCACATAGAATAAAAGGTGGGATAGTTCAGAAAGTGGTACTAATTCCTAGCGACTAACAAACTTTATGATGTGCTGCAGTTTTGTTTATTCATAAAATAGTGGGGCAACATGCCTCCAACTCAAAGCAGAAAAATTGTTTCAAGACAACCAAGTTAAAGTTGCATTCCCCAGGATATTTTTGAGTTGCATCCTGCCACCAAAGAAAAAAAAATCCTTTTCTAACTTGATTTGTTATATCATGTGCTTGGATACTGTAATCTCATTGGTCTAGGATGGCCATGTGTCTGGACAATAACAATGCATGTCACACAACGAGGGTGATATCGCACTGCGTTTATTACGCGCCCTTATGGAACCTGCCGGTGTGCTAGCTTTGCGCAATGAGAACTGCAACGTCAAACGCTCAGTCTCATGTCCAGCAGGACATCAAACCTTCATTTATCAAAGGTTTCATCGCAGTGATTTAATTTATTTCTCACACAGTAAAGAACAACCATTTATCTTGGTGAGTTATTGGCACGATATAACGAAACAATTGTTGCCTGCTGTGATGTGGGATATGCCGTTAGGGCACAATTGCAGAATACCCCGCCACTCGATCTATCCACCTTGTAGCCGGCTACGAGGTCACGGTTGGTTGACCTCAATAAACATTCTCAGCGCTACTTGTATGTACTATGCGTCATGCTCCATTGCACTCCCACTTCGTAACCACGTAGCCGCCAACAGGGTAGTTGGTTTGGACTTAGAATTTTTTCAGCAACTCCCATTCCTTTTGTGTTGCTTCGTTCTCCAGCATATTCAATGGGACTCCCACTCCGTATCCGCGTAGCTGCCAACAGGGTGGTTGGTTTGGACTTAGATTTTTTTCAGCAACTCCCATTCCTTCTGTGTTGCTTCGTTCTCAAATAATGGACCCCCACTCAGTATCCGCGTAGGTGGCATGGACTTGAATTGTTTCTTTTCCAGTGATTCCAACCTCGTATCCAGAGAATTTAGGGGTGTATTTCCGAGTGGCGGGGTATTCTGCAATTATTCCCCGTTTTTAACCCCCTCAGGGTGCTATGCGCCCCTCGGGTGTTCAAAACGTCATATCCCACATCACAGCAGTCAACAATTGTTAAATATATCTAGTAATACAAAAGTTCTAGTAATACAAAAAGAAACTTTTCACTGAACATCGACTGAAGAAAATAAAACGGCTCATGGGTTAGTTATTAAATCATTACATCGATTACATCGAAAATGCATGAACCAGGAGCTAGTTTGATCGCAAGGCGGATCTGCTTGTGCCCAACATAACACCGCCCTTTTTCAGAAGGTTGTGGATGCCCAAAAAAGAAAAACAGATTTTTTTGTTGGAATAAAACATACAAGTTGAAAATTTATTCAGAGAAAAAAAATTAATTGCTGTCGAGCAGGGAGAAAACAAATTTGAAAGAAATTGCATGAAAGAATTGACAGAATACAAACCTGCTCATCCTTCCTAAATCTAAAGCCAGTGGTACAAAACTAAAATTTGGTTAAACTATCCCCCTAGCCACCCTTGGCCTTCGGGATGCCTTTGCTTTCCCCGCTTGACGTTTTAGCCATCAGCGAGCGCAGTTTCCTCAGGTTCTGCAAGGTTGTCTGGTCGTTGGGTTTCAGACGCAACGCCTCCATGTAGCTTTGCTCTGCTTCCTCCAGTTTGCCATTCAGGTGGTACATCGCCCCCAGGTTCATGTGACTCGTCGCTGCCTGTGAGGTAACACAGTAAGCAAGTATACATTTTAAGAGCTGGGCCCAACTGTAGCTGAAAATTCTGTGCTTACGGTAAGCGTATTTCACGGGTTAGCGAGGAATTTTGGCTTCTGCGCACGCATACATCCCATAACTAAGGATTCTGTGCTTAGAGGTTTGGACAGATTTTTTCTGCTAGCGCGGTTACCACAAAATGATGATCGTAAGCGCGGAATTCTGTGGTTAAGCAGAGCCATGAAGTTGGGCCCTGATAGGTTCCAGGGCCAATTTCATGAGCTGCTTACTACAAAAATTAGGTCAGCAAGTGTTTGCTAAGCAAAAATGGGTTACCAGCCAATGTTTTATGCAATTTGTATTGCTTGTGACTGGTACTCTGCTTAACAACTCCACTAAATCTCAGCACTTTCAAGGACACTGACAAGTCCAGAACTGCCCAAGCGACCGATCAAAATAATGACAATTGCCGGTACTTCTTATCAACTGTGTTCAACATGATATGTTTTTTAACACCATCAAATGCGTACAAGAAACGGGTAGCATCTGCAGCTTAAAGGTAGAGTATATCATTTGCAGCTATCCAAAAAGTAACTGACATAATTATTGTTGAAAAGCATACTTGGTTTAATGACAGTAATGGCACTAAAAATTAAAGTTCCTGTGAAATGATTCTTTCTGGCATGCTGTCAATAAAGAAGCAATAAAGAAGGTCATTTCCAAAGATGAGTCTAAACGCATTTTTGGAAATTTCCGTTAGTAGTTCGTTATTTATTCGGCGAAGCTGTGAATGGGTGCGTACAAGTGTTGAACACAAGCTGCACACGCGGTTGCTATTATTCGTTGGTTCAGTGCGTGACATCGCGTAGCCTCAATCATCTGAATTAGAACATGATTTTTGGCGCAATTCAAAACATGACTCGGCAACTTTTGAATTGAAATTGAGATCCAAGAATATTGTTTTCTCGGAATATACAGCATTCACTGAGCTAAAACTTCATCAGGTTAGTTGTTAAGCACCTTTCTTTAGATTTTGAGCCCTCTTGTTGCTGTTGTTTCAAACGACAAATGATATACTCTACCTTCACACATTTTATTGCCAGTTTTAAACATGAGCTCTTCTTTAAACAAATCGAGCTATTTCTCTGAAACTATCTGACTGTGTCAAAAATGTATTCTGCTGCAAAATGTCAGACAAGTCTTCGAAACCTCCACACAAGACATTCTCAAGTCAAGTCACAAGCTCTGGAAATAAACTGTGACATGGGCACTCTTTTCCATCCTCTGTTGTAACTTAACTCGAAAATTGGCTTATGGAGAGGAATAAAGCTGGGCTTGATAAGCACGTGCGAAGAGAACCCCCCTTTTAAAGTGCATTCTCAAATGACAGGGCATTGACAATTGAAAGGTGTAGTTCATCTCATCGAGAAATAAAAGGACCCACCTCAGGTTTCAAAAGTGCTGCTTTCTTGTAGAAGCCCTCTGCCCTCTTGTTGTTGCCAGCCTGGCGCAGGGCATTGGCAAGGTTAAAGGTGGCCTCGTGGTCATCGGGTCGTAGGTCAAATGCCTTGCTGAACATAGCCAATGCTTCATTGAAGCGTCCCTGATCATTCAGAAATTGACCTGAAAAAATGAATATGCAATTCAGAGATGAAACTGGCCTATGGGGAAAAAAGGCCCAACAAAAATCAGTGTCTGAAATCTTGGCCGCACCGCCGTTAAAGATGTACGTATGTACAATTCACTTCATGCCTAATTTTCGGACACCGCCTCCTGTTCTTTTTTAGATCCAAACGAAATGTTACCATAAGAAAAATGTTCAGTGTTTCACTAAAATTAAAAAGCCTGAATTAAGGTTAGAGTGACGGACTCATCAACATAGAAGTTCACTTCTTACGTGAAAAAGTCGAAGAGAAAGTCCGAAAGACACTGTGCACTATTTATGACACCATTCAACCATGTCCATGATTCAACCAAACTCCACTAACATACGTGGGAAAAATCAGGCATTGTCGTCTTTATTTTCAGCTGTAAACCATTCCAATCCGGGCTTACTTATATGCGTTTACCATACAATCTGTGTACTGACGACTGGTAAAACAGATTAAAATTGTGCTCGCAGCACAGATGTCATGGTGCCATTTTTATCAAATTCGTTGAAATTTGATTTAACATATCACAATTTGCGGGGAAAAGATCGCCAGAAAAATCAGAATTTTGGAAATAAATTTTAAAAAGTCAGATTTCCAATTAAAATCGCAAAAGTTTCATCTCTGGCAGTTATGTATGCAAATTAGGTCCCCACGCACTTTAATTATCAAATTTGTTGTCAAATGTTATGAAATAAAGCACTTCCATCAAAAGAAGGACTTATTTAAAATATCCCTGGTACTCACCATGGTATTGATAGACATTGTGTTTAGCTGGTTCCAACTCTATTGCCTTTTTCAACAATGTCTCTGCTTCTGAAATCCGGTTCTGTGAATTTCCAGAAACAAGTAAGTTTCTTAATTAAAGAATTAAAACTTCATCGCTTACATACGCCCCATTTGGTTCCAACACCTCTATTTAGAAGATATTTTTAGTTTTCTTCTTCAACATTGCAACAAAAATACCGAAGTTTTAGCATAACACTCACATAAAAAATGCAAAATGAAATAAAAAAAGGTCAAGCAACTAAAGGTTACATGAGGGGACAATACAATACTTAAGAAACACCACTGACATAAAGTTGGGTTTAGATGAAACCATGGACCAGGCCTTGGATGGGTTTGGCTGGGTTAAGTAACATTGGACTGGGTTGGGTTGGGTAGAATTGGTTGGGTTGCATTGGCTGGACTGGGTTGGGTGTGGTAGAATTGGTTGGGTTGCATTGGGATAAGTAGGGATGGGTTGGGTTGGGGTGGGTTGGGTTTGGCTTGCCCAGGCTGGACTGGGTTGGGTTGGGTAGAATTGGTTGGGTTGCATTGGCTGGACTGGGTTGGGTGTGGTAGAATTGGTTGGGTTGCATTGGGATAAGTAGGGATGGGTTGGGTTGGGGTGGGTTGGGTTTGGCTTGCCCAGGCTGGACTGGGTTGGGTGTGGTAGAATTGGTTGGGTTGCACTGGGTTAAGTAAGGATGGGATGGGTTGAGGTGGGTTGGGTTTGGCTGGACTAGACTAGACTAGACGGGGCTGGGCTGTGTTTCACTGAGTTGAGTCAATTTCCTATGATTTCCATTCTTTGTTGTGAAACCACAGCTAACTGAGAGTACCTACCGTTTTGGCCAGCATATGGGCATATGTAAGGTGTGCAGGTATGTGTTCGGGTTTTGCCTCCAAGGATTTCTTGAACCACCTCTCGGCACTCTCAATCCTTCCAAGCTTGAAGTATGTTTCACCTGTTCAACAAACCAACCCAAATAAAACTGGTTTCAAAAAGTGTGACACATATGCATCCATTACATGAACATGTAAACCCAGTGCTGTACCCATGAAACCTGTGCACCAGAAAATGCATTAATGGCTTGCTTATTGAGGTTTCATTCAATTCCATTTCAAACCCTTTCGGCTTTTAGAGCAAAAACTTATTCAAAAAAGGAAACAATACCTTGAGTTATGTGCATACCTACCTAGCATGTTGTAGAGGCTCTGTGGTGCGTAGTGGTATGGTCGTCTCTCAATGGCTTCGGTGAAGATCTTTAAGGCTTCCTGTACACAACCAAATGTAATATTGTGATAATAAATTGATTAAAAATACTTTTGATAATAATAATTACCGATAGTCGGTCACCAGGGAGACATTCATATAGACTTGCGCACAATTTTTTTCCAACTTTAATGACCCCTATACCCCAATTTTACCTTATCCTACCCCGCAAATTTTTTGTACTTTTTACTAATTGGACCACGAGCAATCGATCTAGCCTATTTGCAACATTAAAAGTTGCCTCTAATTCCACGTTTCCCAAAAGTATACAATGTAACTATTGACGCTAAAATATCTCCCAAAGGTCTTATATGTAATTATGGTTGTCAATTTTTATTTTTAAATACCTTATCTTTAACCATTGTGTATGCCTGGCTTGTGACAATTTGACACAGTTTACAGTGGGAGGTGGCGGTGGATGGGGAGGGGCTGGGGGTTACTAGAAATAATATGAAACCAGAGGGCCCCTCATCATCATCTTGGGTGTTGTCACTCACAGACGTTTTACGTCCATTATGATTCATGGCGCTGAAGCCACACGTTGAGCTCTTCGTGGTTGAAGAGCGTGCGCCTAACTTGCATTTCGCCCCTACTGTTAAAGGTCCTCTATTGTTAAAGGTCCTTTACTGGTAAAAGTTCCACAAGTGAATGCATGATGACGATGATGCATGAAACACATGCCTCTTGCCTACCTCGTATTTACCCTGTTCCTTTAGCAGCCAGCTGGCCCAGGTGGAAGAGTGCATGTTTTCAAACTGTGGACCTTCATCCACCATGGACACTATTGTCCCCTATTGTTAAACAAAGTCCACTATTGAATGCATATACACACCAGATGTGTTCATGCCTACCTCATATCTGCCCTGATCCTGCAGCAGTCTGCCCAGGTTGAAGAGCGCCGATATCACCCCAGTCATTTGATTCTTGGGGTCTTTCAGGCCGGCGTCGTCCAGCGTAGCTGCATGACGATACACCTTCTCTGCTTCGTCCTGCCGGCCCAGGGTGTTCAGCACGATACCCAGATTGAGATGAGCCACTACAAATAAACAGGAAACAAAATAAGAAGCTTGCTGAATTATGGACAATGTGCTTTGTTAACAGTTAAGCTTGAACAACTCCTGTATTGTCTGGAATCGCTTCCATTTCCTTCTAAGAGTTTTGATTCTCTTAAGAATTGTTTGAAAGTATTCACTTCACAATCTGGAAAAGTCACAAAAATCTACCAATGAACTATAGTATTAAATTTCTATATTTATGAGTTCATTAAAAAAGAAGTTAACTTCTTTAATTTAACTCTTTGAGTATGGAACTATGAACTGCTTAACAGGATGTACAATGTACATGTCATTAAAACAATGTGCTACAATGTTAAAGCTCAGCCTTGTACATGTATGTCCACCAGTTGTCTTTACGCCATTTTGAGCCAATGAATCAGAAGGTCCTGTGCAAAGAAAGGTTCTGTCGGGAAATCAGATTCTTCTAAGAATGGCAACATCTTACAAGCTGTGTTACAATGCAGTGCGCCACCAAGAGTTTGCCATGGAGAGTCAACTTTTCAAGTTTACAGTCGACAAAATATGGCCCATTTGAATGAGTGTCAGTAGACACTTGAGCTACCGGTAATTTGTTATAGATTTGGGCATAGCGTTCTGCGGCCTTACCAAAAATCACCATATTGATACAAAGAAAAGAAAAGGGCAAACATATACTCGAATCATACGCTTACAAAACTACTGACCAGAAAAAACGAACAATTTCAAATGTCTTGCGCTGCGAAGTTGTCGACCACCTCCCACAATGCACTGGGAAAAATGAACTCTCCGAGGCAAACTATTGGTGGCGCTCTGCATTGTGAATCGCCCCAATTGGTTCATCTTCAGAATTGTTGGCACTGTTTGTAACAACTCTTAAAGAATTTGAATGGACGAAAACAAAGAATCAGTTCCTCAAAATAGGTGGAGAAATGATTCTCCTTCCAGCTTTAGGATTGATTCTATTCATTTCTGGCACAGAGCCCAAAGCCTCGGAAACCTACAATGATGTGTTAACAGGTCTGTCTTGCGCCACACTTTCTCTCTCTCTTTAACCATTGAGGGGGTACTTGTTCACCAAGTCCGTAACAAAACAGACTTACTTGATAGTCTTGGCCTGCACTGGATGGCCAGCTGATAGCTAGCAATGGCCTCCTCATAACGCTTGCTTTCCTGCAGTAATATTCCTCTGGAAAAAAGAAACGAAAAATTGACAATAGTTTTCATGATTTTTTTTTGAGGCGGAATAGGAATGAGTGTTAACATTTTGAACAACGGCTACAGAAGTTCTGGCTCGCTCAACAAATTCATTTTTTATTCTCTTTGCGAATTTTCAATTTATTTCGAGTTGCTTTTGTGCCTCTGTGCCCCAATAGGTCCAAATTATTGTCAGGCCTTGATTAATTTGACGTGATTATTGCATAAATACACATGGGCAGAATTTTTCGCTTGACATCTCATTTCACCGTAAAACGAAAAACTTTTGCATTGCAAGAAAATCAATATCATGTTTTTCAAAAAGTGGAAAGGGGGGGGGGGGAGGAAGCCGATTGGGGGGGGGGGGGGAGAAGCAGGTGGGGGAAGCAGGGGAGGGGGATAGACACTAACAGCAACAACTAAAGTGGTCTGAAAAATGTAAAAAATAAACAAGTCTTACAAGTTATAATGGACATCAGCCATGTTGCCACGGTAACTGAGTGCATTTTTATAAGCTTCTTCAGCTTCTGCGGTCTTGCCCTGCGATTTGAGAATGTTGGCCAGATTCCCCCATGCTAGAAGAGAAAAAAAGAGAGAAAAAATGAAAAGAATGAATGAAATTATAAAAAAATATGAGATCTGCATGCATCCATGTTTACCTCCTCCATCTTATCTGGCTTTTCATTTTTGTTTGCTTGTTGTGTTGTCTGTTGAGTGGGGGGGGGGGGGGAAGGGGTGTTGCTTAAGGTACATATAATATTAAGGGAATAAATATATTCTTGGCTAGGGGCCTGGACATTGATAATGGCCTGAGCTGAAGGCGAGGACCATTATCAGCGACCCGGCCCTAGCCGGTTTTAAACGTAATTGTTTAATACCGACCAAGCACATGTTTATCTTTCGGTCAAAAAGTCAAAACAATTCACGATTTTCAAACAAGTTTGTTCAACAAGTTTACCTCATGTTTTGTGAAACATCCCTCTTACCATTTTTATGGTACCGATATGTGCCTCGGGCGCGTAGTGCTAAAAATCTCCTTTTATGGAGATTGGCCCACACGCGGTGCGTACTGTGCGTGCAATGTGGCGCAGAACGCAGTGGTGCAGGAATAAAATGTTTGAAACCAGTTGGTGTTTTATCAACTGTTTAAAACCACCCATGTGACGGGCTCTCGACCATTAGGAGTAGGTTCTGGTTCTGGTGGTTACTGCGCAAACACCTCGTAAGTGGTTATCTCGCATAGGTACAGGTATTTATGAATAAAATATTAAACAATTACTGCAAGTCAATTTGCTTCAAACTGACTGATGATTTAGAATTTTTAGATGTTTAGAGCATGTGACATTCTGATCCTAGGGTAGCAAAGTCTTTATCTTTGTATAGTTTCTAGAATCAAAACGTCGGCCTTTTCTGAATTCTGTTCATCTGAGGAAGAGTTACATGTACATGTACATGTACCTGTAGTTGCAAAAAAAGTCTCTTCCACATGTTGTAATTACTGATTGTTAAAAGAATTCATATATTGTAATTAATTCTTTTGTAATTCAGGCATATAATTATGTACATGTACAGAAGAATTTCAAAAAGACAGGAGAATATTCCAACACCAGAGCACATTACAAATAACACTATTCATTCAAACTTTGCCATCAATATACAAAACTGCACAAAGCACTACTTAAAATGCCATTTTTTGAAAAAATGCATTTTCCACCATATGTGGCACACACAAGTATGTCAAGTGTTCACTCGTGTTCCAAATTATGGCCTTCATCAACATTTTTATTCAGTAATAAAGTACATGTACCTGCAATATTTACAGGGTCGATGTTGCTTAAGCTTTGCAAGGTAAAAGCTTTTCACCAAACTCCTCTACTTCCAACAAACGGCCATTTTCCCATTAACAGTTTCCTTTGAATATTGCGTTTGAAGGATTTTTCTTTTCAACCTCAAATTGCCTCTTTCTTTTCTATAACAATAAGCTGAAACTACTTGAGAAACTGTTCAGTCCATTCAGTCTATCAGTATTTCTTGCCGTAACTTTAGAACTTTTTTTTTTTTTTTTTTTAGAATTTTATGAAAATACTGCAACAATTGTGAAACACTTGAAAGTTGTACTGTACATAAGGGCCTTGGGGGAAAATACATTACATGTAAACAACTTTCACAAAGTTGCAATGGGTAGATAAATTGCATGTGAGGAAATAAGGGTTTCTACATGTGCATGTGATTTTACCTGTGAAATAAATGATTTTGTTGGATTTGCAAAGAAAGACTTAAAGGGAATATACAACATTTGCAAACATCGAAAAGCAAAACTATCAAATTATTATGAAATACCTTACTGGACTGTTATAGAATGACAGTCTAAAGCATCCTGTAAAATCATGGCACCAGGTGTGCTGTCATTTTCAAGGAAAGTGGTATTGTTGTATCAATCTCCAACGCTGGTCGGCCGACCAGCGTTGGAAAAACCTGACTTTTTTCAACTACTGCCCCCAATTTACCAAATTTATTCAGTCCACATTTTGTTTGCAATTGGTTAAACATCCGTGAACGGGTGCAATCCAGCTAGACTGGTTCCCTGACCTTACAATTTCCCGACGTCTGTAAATTGTTCTGTTTCATCGTAAGTGGGGTCAGGGAACCAGATTACAGGGTAAATCATTGTTTTCTTGGTTTTTCCAGCATCTATGAACATTTTTGCTATAAAATACTGACCCCAAAGCAATCCATTTCTGAAAATTACAGCAAAAGCAAATGTTGTATCTATTCCCTTCAAATATCACCCAAAAGTACTCTCTTTCATTCCCGTTTTTAAGTTTGACAATAGATCTAAGTTTGCATTCAGCTGCCATCTTTGAGCTGTGTATTGTTATGTTAATTCATTAACAATGAAAGCACAAGAGGTCTACTCATGCATATCCCTGCTGAACAAAAGCACAAACCTCAAACATGGCTGCAGTGCAAACAATCTAAGTAATTCAACATTGTATGCTAGAACAATTGTTGCCATTAAGGGAATGTGACCTACTGTGGCAAACTGAGGAATGTCCCCCAAAACCTTGTTTTGAGTAATAGATGCCTGAAGTCAGATACCGGTATAGCAGAAAAATCATGTCAAAATTGATATTGGTTGTTTTGTATTTTGAGTAGTCAAGGTATCCAAGATTCACACTTTGCATTTTTGTTAAGGAAAATGTACCCCCAAAAGTAAAAAACTGAAGAACGTTTATCACTGCCGTTGGCGGCGCAATGCGTATCTTTTTTTTCAAAGCCGTTTTCCTCGAAAAGACGTTGGCGAAGATTGGCGGGACACTGTTGAAGTTCCTGCGGCATATCTTTGGAATAAATTTAGCTACAAAAATAAATTTGGTATCATTGGAAATCCAAAAATTTTAGCTTTAACATGATGTATATAACTTGAAGAGTCAAAGGTGGGGGTTATTTCTCATTATGCTATGGCAGGTCACATATGTGTTTGTAGCCAGTTTGAAACGAGTACATTTAGAACTGGCTAGGGGTCTAGATGGCATTATCTATGACAAGGGCCCTGGCCAGTTTATGTTGTACTTACTTAATACCGGTCATGCACACATACACACTGTACCAGTATTTATTCCCATTCAAAAATACTTTTTAGTCAAAAAGTCAAAACAAGTCAAAACTAAAAAAAATCCAACGATTTTAATTTCAACAATTTTGTTCAAAACACCCTCTAGCCGTGTCTATGGGGTAGCAATTAAAATATCCTTATGGAAATTGATGCGCGCACGGCGTGTACTGTGCGATGTGGTGCAGAATGCAGGAATTGTGTTTAAAACCGACCGGTTTAAACCACCCACATGTCAGGCTCTCGACTAATAGGAATGGGTAAAACTGTCTAACATGTAGGAATGAGTCATCATACATGTACAAATGTATGACTTTAACGCTGGAACATAGTTTGTGCAAACATCCATTCCTCTAAAATGCATGAAAACCGCGAGACATTCCTTTTTGGTTACATTTCTGTAAAGACCACCATTGGAAAAGTTCCAAAACTGAGGGCGCTGTTGTTGTGATGTCATTTATATTAAGGCACATGCCAGCTGCCTGTTGATTCGCATAAACAGCAGCTCAGCCCTGTTGAATTTAATAGATTGATGAAATAAATGGAAATCGAAAAAGCCAAAACTGGTTCCTATAGCAAATATCATACCAGTATACCGTTATTAACACACACACACACACATTCTGGAATTTGTATTCCTGTGGAGACATTTCTTTGTTCTCGTGTAGTAAAGTTTTCGAGTTTGAAATTGAAGTTTCAAAATGCTCTTATTTTAACCAGAATTAATTTCCTGGGCTGAAATTTGGACTTAATATCCCTTTTCTAAAACTCTTCCATTTGCGACAAATCAACCCACCTTGGAAATTCCTAGTTTTTGAGTAAAATCCATATATCTATTTCGTGAAATTCTTGTGGAGACGTATTCATCTATAGAAATTGTCCTGTGGAGACCTATACAATCTTTTGTTCCCTATTGTGAAAATGTCTCCACAAGGATACAAATTTGCGCTCACAGAGGGCCATTATTCACGCACTAAAACTAAACTTTCTTGGATGGTTAGGGCCATGCATTAGTCGTCCGCTATCATGTGTACATGTACCGGTACATATGTACATGTAGCTGTTGTGACAAATCACATTCATTCTCATTCATGCAGTCATAACCATTTTCATAATGTTATTGAAATCAGCAAGCGCGCTAGAGCTGACAGTGCAAATTGGATGTGTCCGCTTCAATCCATCAATTTTGAATGGGCCATTTGGGTACAGCTCTGCAAAGTCAATGGATGAGCAGCGCATGTGTGCTACAGCATCAAACAGGGGGTCATGGGTTCGAGTCACTCTGGTGTAGACTACAGATGGTGAATACTTTAGGTATTGCGAAACACCAATTCTTGCATGTCGAGGATCAGGCGCTGTTTCAATTCATGAACTTTCACAGCTGACTCAATCAGTCACAGGTGAAATGTTGTTCAACTTCAAGCAAGTAATTTACATGTACGTTGATTGTCATATTTGGGCGCGAAATACAGTTGATGACCATAGTTTGACTAACTTTGCTCGACCAAAGGGTGGTTGGACTTTGTACTCTGGTTGATTCTTTGGACCATGGGGCACGGTTCCATCGCTGGTTACCAATAGCCACGTGCATCGTAAAGCAGGGAGCAAGGACTAGGAGATTTACAGGCGTTTCTTCTTACCGGGGGGGGGGGGGGGGGGGGGGGGGGGGGGGGGGGGGGTAGTGCATGTGCACAGACATAAGCTACATGTACGTCACAAATCAACCACTACAGTAGTGGACTGTACACGGTACCGGTGCTAATAGAATTCCTGCCATTGCAAGACATACATGTAGGGACTTGAGCAAAATTGAGACAGTGTCGCCATGCTCTGTGAAGGCATCATTGATTTCCATGTGTGCTCACATAAAAAATAAGTTTTGTATCTCCTTGCCACACGCATGTGAACCAATGTATGTATGCATGTATACATTTTGCCCTGTCACCCCCTCCCCTGGCTCTC